CGTCTCCCCTCTCTCTCCCCGACGCGCCGGCTCGACTGGGGCTGTACTTGTACAGCGCACTGCACAAGTTGCGGCGGGGCGCTCGCGCTGTCTGCGGGCGCCCCTGCAAGGGCTGTACGATGTTGACGATCAGAAATAGCCTTTTCTATTTTGTAAGTACGTCCCCGCCTCGCCACCTTTTGAAAAACCAAGTGGCCATTTGTTGTGTGGTAGGGGGTGTCGGCCCGCACACTATGCAGCAAAGGGGTGGCGGTACGGCGCGGGCATTTGCTGATCGATTCTGGCGGGAGCGCTCCGATATGAATGCAGCAGACCGGTGGGGGGAGGGGGGGGGGCATCTCTCCAATTAGCCTACGTTGTGGGTGGGGGCCGCGCGGGCCTGTCTGGCGGGGCGGGGTGGCGGCGGCGGCACAGCCCATGTCATCGCCCCCCGCCGCGCGCCCGCTCGCACGCCCACGCCCCCGCGGCCGCCCTCCCAGAGGCCCTCTCGCTCGCACGGCGGGCACGGCCCAGCAGAGCGTGGCTGCCGCCGGGGCTGCCGGCACACGCCGGCCCGGCCATACCGCGCCAAAGGAGGACGAGTATGTCGCGGGGCCGCGGCGAGCCGACGGCGGCCCGACGGCGGGCTTCTGAGAAGACTGCGGAATCTTCCAATTAGAACGCGCTTGGCGCTGGGCGTCTCGTGGTCTGGTGGCCGCGGGCTGCCGCGGGCGTGGCCGCCGGGGCGTGGCGGCGGCGGCTGCTGCTGCCACTGCTGCCTCCCGCGGCCTTGGGCGGAGGGGTGTGGCCGCGCAGCCTGGCGCAGCCCGCGCAGCCTCCCCCGCCAGCGGCCGCTCTGCCCCGGCTCTGCCCTGCCAACCCTGGGAATGGGGTTTACGGCCGAGGGTGGGGGACGGCGAAAGGGCTCGGAGGGCGCAAGTCTGAAGGTCGCGGCGGACCGGCGGCCCTTCCCCGCCGCGCCCCGCCGCGCCCGGCCACGCCCAGCTCGAATGCCTATGCGGGGGCCTGGGGCGGGGAGGGCGGCGTGGTGCTAGGCCTGGCGGGGGTTCTGGCGGGGGGTGCGTCGGGCTGTGCGTGCGGCACATCCCCGCCACCCCCTCGTATCGACCCGACGCAACCCTGGGCCAAGCCAAGGTCGGTGCTCTCCGTCCGACGCACGCTCAAGGTCGCTGATCTCTCACCCTCCCGCTCTCTGCGCGCTCGCCGTTGCCTATCAGGCTTGTATTGCCCGCATGTGCCGGGCCCGCTGGCCGCCAACCCGCTCCTGTTTAGCGCTTATTTATTGGCCCCCATGATGACTCGATAGCGCTTGGCCCGCCCCGCCCCGCCCCGCGTGTGTGTGTGTATGTTAGGGGGATTTGCAACGCGCGGGCGCGGCGGGCGTCCGAGTGACACTCGTGATTTGGCGCGCGAGCCGGGCCGGCCAGCGCTGCGGGTCAAAGGGTTGGGCGTGCGACGGTTGGTGTTTTGCTGGTTCCCACAGAATTGTGTCCCACCATGCCCGCTTCTGTCTCGTGTGACTTGAAACGATGTGAGCCGTGTTTTGACGTTGGCCTTTTCTTTCTCTTTGTTGCAGAGGACGAGATTGATGTCGTCTCCGTGTGCGGCGAGAAGGCGTCCAGCCGGTCATCGTCGCAGAGCGCCCTGCCGACCAACCCCTCGGCCCGGGACCGGCAGGCGCTGCAGCAGACCATGGCGTCCGCCATGAAGAGATCGGCCTACTCCAACGCCTCCTCCTACCCCTCGTACATGCCCGGCCGCCAGCCCAGCGGTAAGCTGGCCAGGATGCACGCCGAGCGGCAGCGGCAGCGCGACCAGCGCAAGCGCCGCGCCCAGGAGCGCGACGACTCGTCCGAGGAGGACGTTGTGCGGCCGTCCAAAAAGCGCGCCAAACACCACCACGCCTACAAGACGGCGCGGCGCGGCGTGCACTCCTTCAAGTCGGCTTCGTCCGACTCAGAGCCCGACTCCTGCGAGAAGCGGTCGCTGCACAACAACATGGAGCGCCAGAGGCGGGTGGACCTGCGCAATGCGTTCGAGGACCTCCGCGTCGTGGTGCCTGTCCTCAACTCCAACCCCCGCGCCGCCAAGGTGGTGATCCTCAAAGAGGCCTCCCACTTCTGCCACCAGCTGACGGAGGACGCGTTGGCCTTGCAGCACGAGTCCAACGTCCTGGAGCGGGAAAGAGAACGACTGCTGGCGAGAGTGTCGTACCTGAGAAAGCAGGTGGCGTCCATGAGGATGGGCGTGTAGGACGGCCTCAGCCCCCCAACCAAACCACCCTGTGCGGAAGTGAAGAGGGGGATGTGTCGATCCAACTCAGCTGCTATAAGAATGCCTTGAGCACTCCTATGAACACATAGTGTTTTTTGTGTGCATTGTACAGTTGTCCTGAGCTCAACCGGGCTTTATTAGACCTATGAAGGAACCAGTGTTAGTGCCCCCGTCTTTAGTGCGGAGTAGATCCACGGGCCACCATTTTATTTGCCACTGTTAGTTTCATTTTTTTTCCCCGTTTTTATGTTGATTCTATCTGTACTCCTGTTCTTGAGTGTGACAGAGATATCATTCTTGGGTGTAGAATGTAGCGTTGGGAATTTCGTACTTTGTGTCGCTTTAGTTTCATCGAACAACTTGTCAGGTTTTAAGCCTTAGCAATTTGGTTTTAGTATGCGTGCTAAGCGACAAGTGTTAATGGTCTCAATTATTGGCTTCAGCTGTCGTCAGCCCCAATGGCTAAGGGATGAGCCAATTTGATGGGAATTAGTAGCCACATCCCCCTTTTCAACTTGCGTATATAATAAATGTGATAATTTGTACATACGTTATTTTTCTATTAACAATAAAGTTTAAACCAAAGTAATAGACAGTT